CTGGGTAGAGTGTCATGCCATCATAGCTCACAGCAACCTCCAACTCTTGGGCTCAAATGATTCTCCTGCCTCTGCCTCCCAAGTAGCTGGGACTATAGGCGCCCGCCACAATGCCCGGCTATTTTTTGTTGCAGCTGTCGTTGTTTAGCCATCCTGGCTGGGTTTGAAACCCACCACCCTCGGTGTATGTGGCTGGTGCCGTAACCACTGTGCTACAGGCGCTGAGCTGAAAGCTTTTTTTTTGGCAAAAAGGATCATGCAGGCAGTAGTGGGAAGCTGCTGCTCCCATGTGGAGCCTACACATAGACTGAAGGGTGCATACGACACTCCGGCACCATGAACGTGGACCATGCCAGGCATTTGCCTGGTGAGCCTCAGCTATTACCTGCTCTTCTGTCCTCTATTAGACCACATTCCCCTGGCATCCTTACCAGCTGGCTTTCTACGCACGTTAGGTTTCACCAGTTGGAGACAGTAGCAGGAGAGGGAGGAAGAGAGAAGCTACTGGGTCTGATGCCAACAGCAGCAGCAATTACGGTGGTTGCCAAGTGGCATCTGGGCCGTGGTGGCACCTCTTTGGCAGCTCCAGCAGTGGCGAAGGCCTTTTGCCAGTCGTAACAAGTCTCTCCACAACAATAACTTTACACAACAAGAATCGTCTTCTTATTCTGGGAACTGACTGGGCTCAGCGAGGCAGGTCCCACTTGGGCTTTCTCCGGCTGTCAGATAGTGGCGGGGGCTCGGTTACTCCAAGGTTTGCTTGCTCCTGTCTGGCAGTTTCTGTTGGACGTCCTCGCAACATGGCAGCCGGGGTCCTGGAGCAAGCATCCCGAGGGACAGCCAGGCAGAAGTTATCTCACCTTTCCTGATCTAGCCCGACAGTCACAAAGCATCTCACCTGCTGTGCTCCATCTGTAAGCAGCAAGACACTAAAGCTCGCCCTTACTCCAGGAAGGAGACAAGACTCCGCCTGCCGCTAGGAGGAGGGCCAACGCAATTGCAAACATATTTTGAAACCACCACCGGCAGCATTTCCAGCAGCAGCAGCAGCAGGTGTGGACTTGCAGGTTCCAGCCCAGGGACGTTAGCAGTTTCCTCATCTTTGCATGTCGTCCCATCTTCCTCCCCCAGTACGCCCTTCTGTTTGCCAGCCCTGCCAGCATCTTTGTAATTCCCTGTATTAAATCTCTATTTGATACACTTAGGGTTGCTTCAGTTTTCTTAACTAGACTCCGACTGACACATGAGGGATTACCCCATAGCATTTGTTGCCCTCGGTAGAGTGCGTGGCATCACAGTTTGCAGCAAGCTCAAACTCTCGGGCTTAAGTGACCCACCTGCCTCAGCCTCCCAAGTAGCTGGGACTATAGGCGCCCACCACAACGCCTGGGTCATGTTTCTATTTTTAGTAGAGATGGAGTCTTGCTCTTACTCAGGGTGGTCTTGAACTCCTGAGCTCAAGGGATCCTCCACTTCAGCCTCCCAAAACGCTAGGATCACAAGCATGAGCCACTGCACCCAGCTCACCCTTACTATCTAAACTCACCATCTGAACTGAATGGCAGAGATACCCTCATTTGTGTCAAGAACCGTCCTAGGCACTTCACGTGTTATCACATTTAATTGCAACATCATGTGGACAGACGGGTATGAGTATGTTTACGTTATGACACAGGAGCTGAGGCTCAGGAGGGCTCAGCACTTTCCAAGGGCATAACTGGAAAGAGCTGGGATCAAGCTCTCCGTCTGATGCTAAGCAAGATACATTTATGTCTTGGATCTTCTGGAATGAGAAGAGCTATTTCCTGTCAAAGAGTCCTACTTTCCTCAGAGGACGTCTCAGTGCTCACCCTTATGTACCTGCCTGATGAACCTCAACTGAGATGGAGGAAAAGGAAGTTAAAATACAGCCGGGGTAGTGGGACACAAAGACAGAAGTACTCAGTACCGTGAGACATGCCGAGTCTGGGGAAGAGGCACTCAGCAGGGGTGCAGAGGCCTCCCGTGTGCTGCTCCCCATGTATGGTCTGACCCCCAGCAGCCCCTTCCTCTCCAGAGGCCCCAGGTTCCACCTCTGATGTTCTGTGCTCTACTTGGTAAAGTATCTACTCTGGGATATAAAAAGCTCTATTAAGACTGGGTGCGGTGGCTAGGCGCCTATAGCTCACCCGGCTAAGGCGCCAGCCACATACACCTAAGGTGGCGGGTTCGAATCCCCAGCCCGGACCCGCCAAACAACAATGATGGCTGCAACCAAAAAAAAAAAAAAAAAAAATAGCCGGGCGTTGTGGCGGGCACCTGTGGTCCCAGCTACTTGGGAGGCGGAGGCAGGAGACTCGCTTGAGCCCAGGAGTTGGAGGTTGCTGTGAGCTGTAATGCCACGGCACTCTACCCAGGGGGACAGCTTGAGGCTCTGTCTCAAAAAAAAAAAAAAAAAAAAAAAAAGACTGGGTGCGGTGGCTCACGCCTGTAATCCTAGCACTCTGGGAAGCCAAGGCAGGTGGAGTGCGTGAGCTCAGGAGTTCAAGACCAGCCTGAGCAAGAGTGAGACCCTATCTTTACTAAAAATAGAAAAAACTAGCTGTGTGTGATGACAGGTGCTTGTAGTCCCAGCTACTCGAGAGGCTGAGGCAGGAGCATTGCCTGAGCCCAGGAGTTAGTTTGAGGTTGGTGTGAGCTAGGCTCTCTGCACTCTACCCAGGTAAGAGAGAGAGAGAGAAAAAAAAAAAAGTATTAGAGACAGGGAATAGAAATTAAAGTAAAATACAGCCAGATTTCAAGGGTCTTGCATAGGCTGATGAGAAGTTCTTATCATATGAGCAGCAGGGAATCATTGTGGCCTCTTGGGGAAGAACCTAATGAAAATAAACAATAAGACCTAAAGAAGGAAATAGTAGGAAACAGACAAGAAGGGACGGCAGAGGTCACAGCTGTTCACTGTGCGCCAGCGCTTGGCACCATCTGCCCGGCACCATCTGCCCAGCCTTAGAGACTTCAGGGCACCCGGCGGGCACAGCTCAGGAGGCTGCAACATGATCTCCACTTCGCAGGGGCTGAAGTGGGTAACTTGCCCAAAGTTACAGAGCTGGTCCACAGTGAAGAAGAGATTCAACTCAGTTTGGTCAAATCCTAAATCTGGGCTCTTTTCACTATACTATGAAGCTCCTAATTTAGGTTGGAATGAGCTGAAGCCAAAGGTAAGAAAAATAAATACAAAGATACTGTTCAAATGTACAGAGATCTGAAGGGTTCGCAGCAGAGGAGTGGACGATCAAAACAGAGCATGAGGTGAGCAGAGACAGTGAGAAGGAAGAGGACAGGAGCCGAGGTTCCAGTGCAGGGATTGATGTGACTTATGAGGTGGGCCACACGTTGCTTCCCTACAGCCCTTCCTCCTCAATTTCACTCATGATTCCCTCCTTCCCCATAGCCTCCCAGGGTAGGCCAAGTGCTTGCGGCCTGAGCCCAGCAGCCTAGTTCCATCCTTTGGCCACTTATTGGTTCAGGGATGGGCATGTCACCTAAGCTGGCCCATGAAACCAGAGGCTTGCTAGGGGCTGCTGGAAAGCCTTCTTGCGTTTCCAAGAGGCTTTCTTAAAAGACTCTTTTCTCTCTCTCCCCACATGTGCATGGGGACGTGTCCTGCCCTTGCAGTTATTGCCAGGGGTCTCTGGACTGAGGGGAGCCAGCCTGAGCGTGGAGACAGTGCTGCCAAGGGCAGAAAGCTGGGAGACGGAAGGGACCGGGTGAATGAATCTGGCCTTTGTTGTCCTGTTGCCCAAACGTGTGCTGTTATAATAACGGGAATCTCTGCAAGGCGTCTGTCTCAGGCCGCACTGCCTTATACGTTGAAGGAAAATAAAGAGAAATGGGAAAAGCCAAGAGCCAGGAAAATGGTGACATGACACTTGCGAGCCCTCCTGGGAACAAACCAAGTGCCTGGGACGGCCACTAGGGATGTACCAATCCGGGCAGAGAGAGCCGAGCCTCCTCCCGTCATCCTCCGGCTGCACGTCCCCAGCCACAGCTCTGGGTCCTTGTGTCTCTGACTCACGTACCTACAGAACACAGGCCACAGGTAAAGCCTTTCCTCAGGACCCACGTGGTTTTGCACGAAGACAGGATCCTTTTCTGCTGATGATAAGCCCTCTAATAGATTCGGGTCCCACGGGGTAAATGTCTGATGTGTGTATTTCAAATATCACCTATTATACAAACCATCTTCATATTCAAGAAAAAGTCAAAGTAACAAATACTGTCCTGTCAAAACGCCAAACACTTTATTCATCTGTACATAACATATATAAAAGTAGCAAAGTCAGGGTGTTTTCCTCAGCCACCCTTTCCACATTTTGTGCAGTTTTAGTGAACTATAAATCACTGACTTCTTTATGCCTAAAAGAGAAAAGAAGAAAGGATGAGAAAACGGAGGCTTGCTGAGTGGATGCTCAGTGTGTCGGGGATGCTCGGGGACGGGCTGACCTGTGGGCTCCAGGAGCCCAGGCAGGGGAGGGGACTAAAGGTCACTGTGATCAACAGGACGGGGTGGGGGGACTCTGGCACAGGTCCCTTCTGAGTTGGCGATAGGGATGCCAATGGTACTTAAGTCACTGGGATAAGCGAGCCTTTGGAGTTATGAGCATTCTGGCAGCCTCTGAATCTAGTAGTTCTTTTTAAAAAGGAGAAGGGAGGTAGACAAAGACTCTGTATGCCCCTGGCACCCTGGGCCCCATGCTCTCTCCAGTGCCTGAGTTTCAACCGCCCAGCTCGCCACTTCCATGATGCCGTGTATGCCACTGCTCTGCTGACGATGGATGCTGCCCTGCCACCTGCCTAGCAGACTCTGAGTCCCCTCTCAGCTTTCTTCTCTGGGCAGTGCCTTCCTGCACTTCCAGGTGGGCCCACAGCACCTGCGCTCACCCGTCCCTCTGCCTAGACTGGGAGCTCCTGGAGGGCAGGGATCTTGTCCTTTCACCTCTGTCTCCCTCACCTAGTGCAGTGCCCAGCACATGGTAGGTGCCCAGTAAACACAAATGTGTCCGGTTCAGAGAGCTGGCCCTCTAGTACCTCCATCTACTTAGTCACGATGAAACGAGAGAAAAGCTCTTTGGGGGCGTAGAGGAGAGAAATAAAATGGGATAAAATAAATGGGATGTTATGTGTCAGGTATAATAGGATCTATTCATGGATGCTGGTATGGACTCCGCCTCCTTTGTGTTGAGAGTGAGATCATTTAGTCTGTGTTTTAGGGTGTGGCCCAACACAGCCCCATTCACTGTGATCTGTGCTGTGTGCATTTCAGACGGTGCACTTTGGTAAGTTCACTGACAAGGTAACATGATTCGTTCTGGAGATGGCTAGATGGGGGTTTGAGTGATCTCATGAAAATATCAGGCCCTATTACCTGTCAACTGCCTACTACACTTAAGAGCCTTCCAAGAGGTTAACTGTAGACACTGGCAGCAGTAAAATCATTAAGGAACACACTCTTGACTCGGCCTGTCTACTGGCTAACTCCTTGCAAACTGATATAACCTACTCAAGAAACTCAAAGCTCCTTTCCCTGCCTCCACCCGTTTTAATTTCCTCCCTGGAGCAACCACTCTGGTAAACCTCACCCACTTGAGCATTGAGACTAGAAACTTATTATGTAAGGTGCTTTTGAAAATTCTAACCAGAACCAAGGGACCAAGCACAATACAGGTAGCTGCATATGGTAAGGTTCAGACTGCAACCCCAGGGCACTGAGTCACGCTACAGGAAGAAGTAAGAACCATGTAACTTCAGAAAACTTTGTCACAGGCCCCTGAGAATTACCAGGGCACCTGGTAATGAGCACCACCAGGTAGCCATCTTTTTGCTGCTAGTGGACAGAAACCTCCCTTGACTAAAACCCCTCCCCTTTGAGGCTCAGCACCTGTGGCTCAAGTGGCTAAGGTGCCAGCCACATACACCGAAGGTGGTGGGTTTGAATCCAGCCCGGCCCCACCAAACAACGACGGCTGCAACCAAAAAACAGCCAGGCGTTGTGGCGGGTGCCTGTGGTCCCAGCTACTTGGGAGGCTGAGGCAAGAGACTCGCTTGAGCCCAGGAGTTGGAGGTTGCTGTGAGCTGTGATGCCACAGCACTCTACCCAGGGGGACAGCTTGAGGCTCTGTCTCAAAAAAAAAAAACCCTTTGGATGGCTCTGCCTGTGAGGTTTTCTCTAAAACACTGTAACTGGGAATTCTGGTAGAAAGCATACTGGGACAGGAGTGAAAAGACCTGGATTCAGGTCCCCGCTGGGCCACACACCAATAGTGACCCCCCTTCCCTGGGCCTCAAAGTCTTCACCTACAAAATGACATGATTAGATTAGATCAGGGATTCTCCAACAAGGACTCCCAGACAGGCCTGAATGTCAGTCTATGAACTCCAAGACGGCAAGAAAATCTGTGTATGTGCACATACCCACTTCTGTACACAGGGGACAGAGTTTTAGATTCTCACAGGGATCCCAGATTTGCAAAAGGTTAAGATCCAACAAATTAGAATGAAGAGTCTTATAGCCTTAATACAAACTTCATGAATTTGGGATAGGTAAAAATTTCCTAAACAGGACACACAAAAATTACTAACCATAAAAGACAAATGGATTAATGGGACTACATAAAATTAAGAGCTTCTTGGATGGCACCTGTGGCTCAAAAGGGTAGGGCGCTGGCCCCATATGCCAGAGGTGGTGGGTTCGAACCCAGCCCGGGCCAAAGAAAAAAAAAAAAAAGTTTCTTTTCAGCAGAAGACACCACTCACAGAGTGAAATGACAATCCCAGGGTAGGGGGGGTTTTGCATTACATGAATCCAACAAAGCACTTGTATCCAGGCTACACAGGGAATTTGGGAAGAAATAGGAGACAACTCAATAGAGACAGCGACGAGAGACTGGAATAGACAATTCACAAAGGAGGATGTACAAATCAACAAAAGCAAATACTCAGCTTCCTCAGTCATCAGGAAAGCGCAAGTTAAAGCCCCAATAGGACATCACTAGTCCCCCGTCAGAGTGCCTAAGACGAAAGGACACAGCATATCAAGTCCTGGCCGGGGAGTCCTGTGCTGCATGAGGAACTGTGCCAGTTAGAGTGTAAACGAGGACAACTGTCAGAGTATCTACTAGGGCTGAACACCCACGTTTATGATCCAGGGATTCCACCCCAAGTACTTATCTGACAAGTGCATCCCTCTGCTCACTAAAAGACAGGTACAAAATATTTATAGCAGACTATAGCTGGAATAGTCTCAAGCTAGAGATCACGCACGAATCCATCAATGGTACGATCTATGAACTGTGGTGCTCACACAGCTGCTGCACTGAGAATAAATGAGCTGTTGCTATGCCCAGCATGCTGCATCCCACTGGTGTGTCAGGACGTTACGAGGAGTGAGAGGACAGAAGAGCATGTATTTATTTAAGTTCAAAAATGGGCACAATTGGCTTGGTGCCTGTAGTTCAAGCAGCTAAGGCACCAGCCACATAAACCAGAGCTGGCAGGTTCGAACACAGCCCAGGCCTGTCAAACAACAATGACAACTACAACCAAAAATAGCTGGGCACTGTGGTGGGTGCCTGTAGTCCCAGCTACTTGGGAGGCTGAGGCAAGAGAATTGCTTAAGCCCAGGAGCTGGAGGTTGCTGTGGGCTGCGATGCCACAGCACTCTAGCCAGGACAACAGCTTGAGGCTGTTTCAAGAAAAAACCCCAAATGGCTTGGCGCCTGTGGCTCAAGTGGCTAAGGCGCCAGCCACATACACCCAAGGTGGCGGGTTCGAATCCAGCCTGGGCCCGCCAAACAACAATGACGGCTGCAACCAAAAAATAGCCGGGCGTTGTGGCAGGCGCCTGTGGTCCCAGCTACTTGGGAGGCTGAGGCAGGAGACTCGCTTGAGCCCAGGAGTTGGAGGTTGCAGTGAGCTGAGATGCCATGGCACTCTACCCAGGGGTACAGCTTGAGGCTCCTGTCTCAAAAAACAAAAAAAAAAACAAAAAAAAAACAAACCCAAAACAAAACAGAAAAAAAAAAGGGCAGGAGAGCCTCGGTGCCTGTAGCTCAGAGACTAAGGCACCAGCCATATACACTAGAGCTGGCAGGTTCTAACCCAGCCCGGGCCTGCCAAATAATGACAACTACAACCAAAAAATAGCCAGGTGTGTGGCAGGCACCTGTAGTCCCAGCTACTTGGGAGGCTAAGGCAAGAGAATCACTTAAGCCCAGGAGTTGGAGGTTGCTGTGAGCTGTGACACCACAGTATTTTACCTAGGGCAACATATTGAGACAAGAGTACTTATACTGCAATGACCCGAGTCAGGCTGCTGCCCCCCCCCCAAAAAAAAAGGTCAAAAGAGCACCATGGCCCTGGGAGGCCAGCTAGTGCTTCTCCGAGGAGCTGTACCTGCAGTGGGCATGCAGGGGCTCCAGGGGACTGGTGTGGCTGTAGTACAGATTTTTCCATCTAGGCACTAGGTCCATGAGGTATTCACAGACTACACAATCCATAGAATTCTACTAGGCCTATTCTTGATTTCTGCATCCTTTCTAAAGGATGGTGATTTAGGAATCCTAAGACCCTAGGACCCATTTAGAATGTGCTCCCTTCAAGGGAAGATGGGCTGCTTAGAGGGAAACTTTACTGTGTCTTCCCATCCTCACCATCTTTGCTCTTTCCGCAATGGATAGAGATTCAACATCTGTTTGGATGCAACCTCTTTAGAGAGATCCTTATTTAACTGAAGCTAGTCACACTATGTATTCTGATTATCTGAAGTCAGAATTTTGTTTTGGAAGCACACAGAAACGTACTTCAATATAGGGCTCCAGTGGTTTTCCTTCTGCTGATTTCCAGCCGGTCTCCATGTGGCCTTAAATGTGTGTCCACTGACAAACAACATTCTCCAGGAAACAAGGGAGGCAGAGAGAGAAAGGACTAGGCTGTGAAAGTTTCTACTGTTTTATATTTCAGAATTCTGAGAGATAAAGTAAGCTCCAAAACACTCTTGTAATTAATTTCCAACCACAGTTAGACATATCTACCAAGAAAATCTCTTCTGAAGCAGAAATATAATTAAGGGCTTTCGGGCTTAAGTGATAAGCAAATCACCAGAAAAGTCTTTATTATTATTACATGTTCTTATTTAAATATGTAGGTACCAAAAACTGGGAGAAAGGCTTCAGTTATAAAAAATTAGAAACAGAAAATAATGAATAATCTATTCTGTTGCATTCCAGAAACTGGCTAGTTAGAACCAAATGAGCTCTGCCAGAATCTTCTACGGAACAAGACTAAACCTGTCTTATTAATCCAGTTGAATCTCTTGAAGCTAGAGAGGTGAATAGGTATTTGCCCCCAGAGTTAATTCT